CGAGAGCACCCCAAAAAATTATGCACAGTGCGAAAAACTTGAAGAAAACTTACTTTGGATACCAGTTTTTAGTATTTTTGAGGATCTTTTCTATTATAATTCAGTCAGAAGCTTGCAAAACAGTGAAGGATTTATTACCGACCCCATAAATCATATATATTTATTTATTGATAAGAATAAACTACTGAATCGATCTATCTGTTTGGAAGAAAAATAAATGTTTACAATTTTTTTCAAAATCTCAAATTTTTATAAATCATTAAAATTGTCAAAATTTGTCAAAAAAAAATTGAATTTCTTAAATTTGAAAACCAAGTACTATGCAGTTTTGTTAGTTATATAAAATGTAGCTTAGAAACATTTCCAAATTAAAATTAATGAATTTTTGGCTTAGTTATAGTATTTGAAAAACTTTGATTTAACCATAAATTTAGATTATAAAAATGGTATACAAACTTCGGCTTCTTAAAGTTAGCTTAATGTCTTGTTAAGATCATAATTTATATAGAGATTATTTTCCAACACAAAAATGCGTTTCTTTACTTTATTTTTTCATTAATAATAATTTAGATTATTTAAGTAATACTTGATTTATAACGATTTTATGTAGAGGCTTACAAGTATCTAGAAAAAGCCAACAACTTTTCTAGATAGAAATCTTTATAGCTACTCATTGCAATATTGTTTCCTCCTTTCAATATTAAAGAAATACCTCAGAATCCCTTTAAAAACTCTCTCATCCTAAAATCTTATTCGATTTCTATAAACTTAAGGCTTATTTTCTCTCTGTGCATTTTTCAATGTTGTTGGAGGCGACGCTGGCCGTTGTTATAGTGCAGAAAAATTACTATGACAACGCTGGAAACAAGTAAACCACAGTTTACATTCACTCAATTCGGTTCCGGCGCGGGAGGAGAGCTGAGCTAAGCCTGGGCTGGGATGGGGATGGGGATGGGATGGCATCTCCGCCAGATGGGGGATTGCGATGGGGGATTGGACAGAGAAGATGTGGGGGATATGGATGCGGTAGAGGGAGCAGGGAGGAGGATGGAGGAGGTGGCATACTGAAACAGAGACAGAGACGGGAATGGCAGAATCGTGGCGTGGTGGTGGCACGCTCATCTTCAATTTTTCTACGATGCGACGTCGCCTGGGTCGGGTATTTCCTCTCTCTTTAACTCCGAGAGTCCCTGATCTTCTATTTTGTGTTTTTATTTTTGTTTTTTTTTTTTTCGGCGGCGGCGGCGACTCACACTCGTGTTCCTTGCACTCTACTCCCGGGTCTCAGTCTCAGTCTCAGAGTTAGAGTCTGGGTCTCGGTTCCCCAGCTTCCCGCCGCCACGGTCTGGGCCTGGTCTATAGTCCCCTGGTTTTGTGGGCCCGATCTGCGCAGCGAGATGAGTGGTTGGCAAAAATGTTTGAATGCGATCACGAACTTGACCTTTCACATAACCTCAAAAGCCAGTCACAGTCACTCAGTCAAGTCAAGTCAAGTCAACTCGATGCGCTACATACGCGCCATGTTAACCAGGCCCAAAGACACGGCTCCAGCTCGAGTCGCGCGTCTCCACCCAGTTTCAGTTTTTGCAGATCTCTCAAAAAGAAACCTGCACTCCAGCGGACCTGCAGATCCCCTAGATCTCTGGCTCTCTAGATCCCCGAAGCCCATCTTCAATGGTCATCCGGCCCGGGTGTCAGTCGCAGCATAATTAAAAAACAATCACCCCGGTATACACACACGCCCCCTCGCTGAATGTGAATAATACTCAAATACTCGAATACTCAAATCCTCGAATATGTGTGTGTGCGGGCCTGGCATCTGACTTGGGGGATTCAGCGAATCTCTGAGATCTTGCGGAATCTCGGGGAATCTCGGGGATCTCATGGATCTGGGCGAGGCCAGTGTAGTTTCTATGCTCCAGCCCCGCCAGCATTTATGAGCTCTGGCTGGGGCATGACTATCACTGGGGGGAGCAGCAGTTGCAGATGCCAAATCAGCAGCTAGGCGAGATACCCGGGTCACAAGACCCAAATCGATGAAGTGCAGCAACAGTAACACTAATTCGAGGCGGTGGAGATATAAGACCTACGGCTTATCCTTGATTAATGTGCTTTTATAAATAAATGAAAAGTTATATTGAAACTAAGAGACAGAAATACCTTTATAAACCCTAGAGATATTATGCTAATCTATCCTAAGGTTTAAGTTAGTTTTATTATCAAATTTTGATTTAAGCATTTCTCACACAATGCCTCCTCTGGCTCCCCACTTTTCCCTTGAAAGAAATACCTCCGCAACTGATGTTCCCACCTGCTCGTCACATTTTCACCTTGCCATCAATATGCCCCGGCCCATGCTTGGTACTCGAGCACTTCACTAAATGTTGCATATCATTCGATAGATGCCGTGGATGCTCCAACATCGTCGCCTAGTCTTCTCCTCATCCGGCTGCTCCTCCTCCTGCATCTCCTCGAACTGATTGCCCCTCGAACCGAGTTGGGATCTTCGTCTTAAGGTCGTTCGCTCGCTGGAGCGACCCGCGTGTCGCCGCATCTACTTAACCTGGAAAGCCTATGCCCCTGAGTGGCGAGAGGCCTTTGGAGGAGGAAAAGGAGGAGGAGGTAAAGGAGAAGGTAGTGGCTCCAATGGTGTGGTGTGGGATTGTACCATGTTGTGTTTCGTTTGGGTAAGGCACCACCACCACCAACAACAACCACAACAACTGCTGTGGATGTCTCAGGCTAAGACGCTCCTGCACCGACTCCACCCTTCCCAGTCGGTGGCTCCTCCCTGCAATCCTCTCCTGCCTTGCACCTTCTGCTGGTGGCTAGTTCAACAGCTTTATTTATGGGCTGTTTGGGTAGCTTAAATAAATCAAGTTGTAGTTGCACCAACTCCAGCTTCAGCTCCAGCTCCAGCTCCAGCTCCAACTACAGCTTCCCAGCCAGAGCTCTCACCTCGCATTCGGCGGTTACTGCAATTAGAGTTTGTGGGAATTTGGCACTGTCTCCGCCGTTCTTTTGGGCCTTTGGCTTTGCCCTCCATTCATTGGCAATTTGGGGCTATCTATCGCTACGCTGGCTAATTGCATAATTATTTAAAGCCCATAATTTATGTGTGCCGAACAACAAAAAATCTCCAACTCGACCTGACTTTCGGGTGGTTGTTATTTTCGGATGACCGTTAAGGTTGAAAATTAAGCTTGGACCATTATGTGCCGTTTGTTTTACAAATTTTAACGCTATTTAACACATTCGCCACGGATCTGTGGATCACCAGTGGATGGATGTTGGTTACTCCGGGTATCCGTGGATAGTAGCACCATAAACCATTAGCATGAGAGATTGCCGTCGCCGCCTCTCTTATGCGCTTCTCAAATAGCTTTTGTGTGCCATCCAGGTGAGCGCATTGACAAAATTAATGATGCCCTCACTAATATCATGCCTAATTGATTAATATGCGCGGCGAGACAACAACTTTTCTGACTTTGACTCCGGCTCGAGCTCCGAGAGCTGGGCTCTTTTTTTTAATGAACGGAGCAGCGCTTAGGTTTTTTAGCTGTTAATCTTACTGTATAGCCATTTAAGGTAAGCTCTCTGGCTTCTTAATTAAATTAGGTGTACCGCTGGGCACCCTACGGCTGAGGAGCTGGCCAGAGCGGATTCGAGCCGTATAACTAACCATCTATTTATCTAGTCAACCTTTTTTTGTGGCCTTTCGGGGCGTTGCTGTTAACTTCACACACAGAGAAAAAACACATGGAGTCAGAGGCAAAGAGAAAGGCTGGCAAAGGTCAAATGGTCAAGCAGTTGGTGGTTGGTTGGTCAAGTGGCCACAAAATCAACACACCAAGACCCAGAGTCCCCAATCCCAATCCCCATTCCAAGTCCCAATCCCGTCACTTGTTCGGGTCAGGTTCCTTGGGCGTTGGATATAGAGCGATAGCTTCCCAGCGGTATCAGCATGATTTTAATGGGACCCCCTCTTGACCCGATATCCATCCCATTTATATAGTATGAATGGATCTGATGAGATGAGATTGGGCATTATTCAATGACTAACGTTTTGTCTACTCTTTTGTTCAAACTTGTCTGCGAGATGGCCGGATAATCTTCACCATTTCATTCGCGGGGGAAGAGCCGTCGGAGATCTTAGGAATTCACTCAATCGGTAGATTTTATGGCTAGAGTGTGATCATAGGTTGATATTAATGTAGATAGATATCTTTAACATAGATCTCTTTATGCTCTCAAACGAGCTGAGCTTTTACTTATCTACCGACAAACTGATCATATTGTTTGTTCCTCATTTGTAGCTGATCCATAATATTGATTTTATGTTTTGATTTCATATTAGAGATTAGGTATAATATATTTTTAACAGTTCCTTGGGAGAGTCTAAAGATCTTATGATCAATTTTAAATCAGGGATTAAGCGGAAATACTAAAATAATATAGTACAAGCATTTTCTTAAAAACAGAATACTTAAATACTTTGAAATTTCAAATAATTCCATCACGATCTATTATAATACGAACCTGAGAGTTATTTGTATAAAAAAATCTAGTTAAAACATGTTCTCTACAAAACTCTTTCTAGGATTAAAAAATCCTTAAGTCATCAACTACTTAAAATTAACATCTTCGGAATTTAGTGGCCACAAACAACGTTGTTATAAACATTTTCTCATTTTTCCTTTCACTCCACCCACAATCGGTATTTCCAAATATATCTCTTGTAGGCACTCCAAGCCCACCAAAAATTAAAAAAAAAATGTTTATCTTCATTAGACACAAAATGCAAATTGGTTTTTGTAATCATTATATATTTTTTGTTCGAAATTCTTTCTCTCTCTCTCGAAGGTGACCTGTTTTTCTCAAGTGATCAACTTGCGGCAGCCATTTCATTGATTAATTGTTTTCGGGTCGGTGTATTAAGTATAAATAGCTTCAGGTTCAGGTTGAGTCAACTAAGATATAGCTTATAATTAGCAACTTACCGCGCGGCGAACGTAAGCTCAGATCAACTGGTTCAACCTGAACCGGAGGGCCCTCTGCCTGTGGAAAAGTAAAAAGATTATCAGCAAAGGCATCGTTGTTATTGTTGTTATTCCCTCCCCCGAATATATACTAAATTATACATATATGCAGTTAAACAATAGAGTCATAATCGCAGCAGTGGCTAATCAAGTTTGACAAAAATGATGTTTTTTCTGTTGTTGATGGGGGAAAGTGTTGGATGGTCAAGCAGCTCACTCCGGCTAAGAACACCAACCACGGGGGGTTTTGGGGTTCCGAAAAGGTGGAGTGTGCGTGTTTGGGAGCTGTTTGGTATTCGGTGTTTGCTTATTGAATTCATCTAGCTGGAACCACCGCAAATGACTTCCGTCGATATCTTTCTTACTCCATATGGGGGAATATGGAGAGATCCAAGATCGCAGATCGGTGGCGATAAGTGGGAAGAAACCGAAAAAACCACAATTGTTGCGCATTTCATGCGCTTACGAAATCTTTAGCCAATAAACTAAAGGCAATAAAAACTAACCAAGAAAAAAAAATATACCAAAATAATAAAAAAAAGGATGGAAGAAAAAATATCCATGGCGCAAAAATAACAAAGAAACAGTTATGAGCTGCCCGCAGCGCCATAAAATGGATAAATTTTAATTTGGCACTGCATATGCATTTTTAACTTCAACTTCAGCGCCAACACTTTGCGATATTATTTAAACGAGGTCTGCAAATATATTCATAAATAAATTTTAAGGGTGTTCCGGACCAAGAGTTACCGCACAAAGACTGCCCACAAAATGACTGAAATTTTTATTTGCAGTTCGAGTGGCCAACTAAGTTATGGTTTAATAGTGAAGAGGATGGGTCAGAACGTCATATTTAAGAGATTTTTACAACCATTTTGCGCTCTTGTAAGAAACGCCTGGCACTAAAAGTGAGTAGAAAACTTACTAGTTATATATATTTATTATACATTAGTTAACATCTGTTTATTTTGGGTTTTTAATTTTAAATATGCTTGCTTAACACTTAATTCATTAAATTTCGGTTAGATAAAAAGCTTTAAAAAGTTCAGGTATTAATAACAAAATTATTGATTGACAGATAACAGATAGGAAGATTTATTAATGGAGAAATGGTTAATATAAAATGATTAATAGATAGTGAGAGGAAAATATGATGTGTGATCCCTGCTTAAATTAGCACAAATTTTAAATTATTATATAAAAACCTAATATTTACCATATATTTCTTAGATGCTACTATTAAAATTTTGACATTTTTTACTAAAGAATTGCCAGTTTTTGTGTTAAACCTGTTAATGGATAAATCCTTTTTTAAATAGAGTATGTTTTATGTTCAAGTTAGAAATAACATTAAGAAATTCAGCAATTTATGTAAACATTTAGTTAAATTGTGTATTGGTCATATATATAAATATAACAAAATATATGTTACCACTTAACTGAAACTAAGGATTAAAAAAAAGTTCCTTTAATCACAACTTTACACTTTCCTTATATCCAAACAGATGCAGTTCAAGTCATTCAAGTCCTTCTTTTGACCAGTCAACCTGGTTAACCCAAGTAACCCTAATCCACTTGCAGGGTAGCCCCAGATCCAACCTCAGCCTTTAAGCCTGCTGCCAACGACATGGTCGCGAACACCAAAAACCAAGACAGCGAACAACCAAGTCGACATCCATGGATGTGGATGCCGATGCAGATGCCGAGTGTGTGCCCAGTGGGCAAAACAACGACAATTGTCAGGCTTGTAGCGCAAATTATGAAAAAATGTCAGTGGCGAGTGGGCGAAAAGATGGCTAAGAAGGGGATTTTGGTTGGAAGGGGTTCTGCAATGGAGTACGGAGTACGGAGCGGGGAGAGCCCAGAACTTGGCCACGCGATTTGGAGGCACTGCCGCGGCAGTTAGTTATACAAACAAATGCTCATTGCCGGCATTAGATTAGATAGTTTGTCTTCGATTGTGTCGAATGGCGGCCGCGGGGCCAATTGCGATGTCTCTCAGCCTTCTTGGCCTTCTGTCCACTTTATGGCCCACAGCATTGACAACAACTTCATTGGCCGCCAGCAGATCGAAATCTGGATCGAAATCGAGCTCCAGATCCCAATTCCGAGCGATATCGCTCGATCGAGATCCAGATCTGGCAATCGATCTTGGCAATTGCAATTGATATGCGACTGATGTTGGCCCCTGTCCAAAGGTATTTATATTTATATTATTTCTACTCAACTTGTTTTTTTTTTTGTTATTTTTGCCCCCGTTTACTTTTCCCTCTAATTGCCCCATGGCGCTGATTTATTGTTATATAGATTCCCGTATAGATTCCCTCTACTTTATGATATTGTTATGGGGCGCTGCAACCTCCGATCTGCTAATTTGTGATGGGACGTGCTGAAATTTCTCATAGGCGCCGCAATTGATAGAATGATGGCCGGGACATTAGTTGCCTCCGATTTCCCCCTGATTTCCTCCACATCCCGCCGAACTCAATTTTATGGATTGTCTTACGCTTGGTATGTGGTTTTCCGCCGCCTGACGACGACTGCTCCTGCCTTTGAGATGGGTTTTATGGGGCAGCCAAACGAATTGGCCCACGGGGAATTCCTTGGCAATTGTCATTTCGAATGGCCGAAGCGAAGTGTATCGCTAGCATGAAAATATTTTACTCGCCTCTCGCTCTTAATTGATAAAGGCTTCTGTGTCTTCTTTTTTTTTGTAGGCGGCACTTCTTGCGAAGGCAACTTATAGCCGTTAATGAGTTGGTTGTTTAACTGATATTGAGGACAAATTACAGGCAATAACAATTACTTAGGTGCTATGACGAAGGCATTAAAATAACTTCAATGGAGACACAATTAAAATAAAGGTTTGAATTTGCTTAAGGAAGAAAGAAACCTGTGGCAAAAATAAGAAGTATTTTTATACCCTTGCAGGGTATTAGAATTTTAGTCATAAGCTTGTTACGCTGTGAAAGAGTCATTTCCGACCCTATAAATCATATATATTCTTGATCAGCATCAATAGCCGAATTGATCTAGCTATGTTCGGGCGGAATTAATTTTTTTCAAAATTTTCAACATTTTATAAGGGGTTACATCGTTAAAATTGTCAAAAATCGATAAAAATTGTACATATTTTTAAATCTTGAATTAAGTATGCAGATTTATTAACCTTATACGAACTAACATAGAAATGCTTTTCGAATTAAAATTAAAGCTTTTTTGGCTTAGTTATGCATTTTTTAAAACTTGATTTATCGCAAAAATTGTCGTATAAAAATATTGATTCAAATGCGAATATTTTAAGCAAAGTTATGATCTATTTCCAATACGATCCTATAATCAAATTGCAAATTGCAAGATTATATACACTTTGGCTACCCAAAGATAGTTTTCTATCTTTTAAATAATATGAATGCAGAGATTTTTATGGAAGTAAAAGTTCTAGAAGTTGTTAAGTATCCTAGACATTTAATAATTTTCCAAGGCCCACAAACCCAAGGTCCCATGTTTTATTTGTAACTATAAAGGAAATATATTACAATTAAGTCCTTTCACCAATTTAAAGATTCTCTGTGCAAATATGGATAAAGGAAATATGTATTATATTTTGCTAATAAAAATATAAACGGCTTAAGCGTATGAATTAAAAAACATAACTAGTTAAACAAGAATTATTGCCATCTTTTTGTGTATAAATGGGTTTTGATAACAGTTGTATATAACCCTGTTTTGTTTTGAAATTAGTGACATTAGGTCAGTGTATTTATTATATTATATTATATTATTATACGTTTAATAATAGGATTATTCATCTCTAAACCGCACTTAATTTACCTTAACCCTTCTTATCCCTAGAATCTTAACCCGCAAACTCACCTCCTTTGCTGACAGAGGGTCGGATCCAAGTCCATTCTGCAAAGAGAGGCAGAAAAACAGGGAATTAAGCGATTTTCCCCCTTGAAAACAACAAAAGCAACAACAAAAAAGTGCAACAGGTTGGTGTCAGCCATGGACTCCCCTGCTCTTAAACCCTTTGACCCCTTCCTTAACCCTGGAGTGGCCAAAACAAACTTTCAGCTGACAGGGTACAAAACAAAAACAACAACAACAAAAAAAGAAAAGGGGAGCACATGGCGGCATATGGCGTTGGCGTTGGCGTTGTACTTACCATGAAAACCATTAAATTGTAAAACGTCTTACAAAATAATAATTGCCCGCAACGTTCTGGCCACGTTGTTACAAAAGACAGGCAGCAAAGGGTAGGAAAGTGGTGGTGTAGGATGCTCGAAATAATCGCTGCAACTAGCCTGGGCCTCGTCTTGGGCTTGGGTTTTGGTTTTTAGTTTTGGCTTTTGCTTTTGTCGCAGCAGCTGTTGCCTGTGTCTCTTTTTCTGCAACTGCCGCATGCTATTTCGCAGCCGCGGAATCAATGACAAAACGCGGCCAACGCACCTTGAGTTTAAGTTTTTATTTTTATTTTTATTTTTTCGCTACCTTCTCCTCTTTTTTCCTGCTTCTTTTTCCTTTTGTTTCTTTTTTCTTGTTATTTTTGCTTGCCTATGCTTTGAACTTTTGTTTCCTTTTGTTGGGGGAGGAGGGCCACCGTGGCAGAAGCAGCCGCATTTTGTGTGAGGGGGAAAAGAGGGAGGGAGCCAGGGAGGCAGGTAACGAATGCAGCCGAAAAGGAGGGCAGCAAAGGTGAAGGGGGGCCGCTGAGGAGGGGGCTGGGTGAGTGCTCAGTGCGTGACGAAGTTACTTGGGCAAATATTTTATGAGTCGCCTAAGCATGACTAATAAATTAAGAAAAAAAAACATAAAACAAGAGCTTAGAGATTTATCCAATTGAACGGTACAAGAAAAAATAGAGCTATAGCCAGTCGAACTACCCTAAATCGAGGCCTTAATTGGTGGCAAAGAAAGCTAATTAAATCACTAAAAAATCAAAGTTAAGCTGCCATTAATTATTAAAAGAATACAAGTACAAAGAATATGTGGAGGGTTTCTAGTCAGGAACTTGGTACAAATAAAAATTTAAGAAACAAATATGGAAGGTTTATTTATACATTAGAATACTATTTTAAATGCTTCTAAGATTACTTAGTAGCAGTAGTAGAAAAGGAATCCTTTGTATCATATTTAATTTAGGAAGAAAAATTTAAAAAGCAACCTAATTCTTTAATAATTTCCCTTAAATTCTATTTAATATGAAATATAATAAATTAACTTAATTTCAAAATAAAACAAATTCATATTCGAAACTGTGTTTTATGTGTTTATGTGAAAGTGAAAGCAACTTTCAACTTTTAAGTACTTAACTTTTAACTTGAGTTTCGTATAGAAGGAACGTCAATACAAAATTGTAGTTAAAAGGTAAGCAAACATTGATAAATGTGAGTTAATAAAATAAAAGAAAAATAAATATAACAAATGAAATTCTAAAAAATAACAGCTGCGTTTCAAGTTAAATTACAATAATTGTAAAACGAATTCCACTTGAATTCATAACTCCCAAAAATGTAAATCAGAACAAGGCCATTAAAAAAATATACAATAAATTCAAGTCACCCAATTTAGTGAGGGGGGAAGTTTCGAGTTTAGGGGAGATCGACTGACTGTGACTAAAATTGGCAATTACTGGTGGCCCTTGCATCCGGTTTTAGTTATAGACTCGGGACTCGGAATCGGACTCGGGTATACTCGCTGTAGTTATTGTCTGCGGCACACTTATTAGCACTTATTGCCGCCGCTTCCTGGGCGGGGGTGTTACACTTGTTGTTTAGCTGTTGGTGGGGCTTGCATTTCCGGTTGTGTTTGGTTTCTTTTTTTTTTTTTTGTTTTCTACTATGTTTTCCAGTACGGCAGTCAATTGCAGTTCCCGGTCCCGCGGGCGCTATAAAACTCGCACTTAATTCGATCAACTAAGAGAGGCACATGCTACGCCCCACAACGCTGTGTTATTATTTATTTATTTATTTATTCCTCTTGATTCTTTGCTGGTAGGTACGTAGCCTTCGTTGTTTGCGGCGTGAGTGTGCAAATTGCGGCACATCCGTCATTTTAATTTCACTTAAAACGCCATTTAAAGCGTCGCGTCGCACCAACACACACACGCACACGGCGCACGCACGCACGCTTAAAAGGCACGCACGCATGCGCAAAAAACGCCGGCTGATAAAGAGATGCAAACAATGCAAAAGCAATATCAAAGCGCAGACGCAAACGGAACGAGACGAAACGGAACGGAAATGGAACGAAAGGGCGAACGGAGTGGCAACGAAACGCAGCACAGCAGCCGAAACACGTTTAAACGTGACGCGCAGCAAACTTGCACTGAACTGTAAAAATTCCAAGCCTCCAACTGGGCTTGGGGCCGTGGTGAGCTTTGCGCGCGCGCCCCCAAAACTCACCACCATCGCACATACATACACATGTGTGTGTGACTGTGTGTTTGCACCACTTTGTTGTTTGTTTAGTTAAGGTGGAGCTAGGCTAAAATGACAAGTTGGCGCTTATATTATTGGGTGGCCAACGTGACGGAGTGAGCTTGTGTGTGCCCCCACCCAGGTGTGTGCGGCCTGTGTGTGTGTGTGCTTGGGGCTTTTTTCTGTTATTTTGTGGAGGTGTGTGTGCTTGTGTGTTAATTAACATGCAGCGCACACATAAGCACACACGCTGACAAGCTGACAAGCTCTTGGAAGTGTAGGTGTTTGGCGCCAGCGATTTCATTGGCTGAAATGGTTAATAACTAGGGCCACGGGAAGGGGGTGTGTGTATGTTTGTGTTTGTGAGGGAGAGCGAAAGGGAGGCAATTAACACAAGGTACAACAGCCGCTGACAGCTTCCAGCGTTGTCATTTCCATTTTCATTTCCATTTCCATCGAGCGGTTTTGTTCCTAATCTAAACGGTTGCATCGCTCACGTTTCCCGCTTGGAAAATTACAGGACAAAGTCGATAAATTAAACATTAGAAGTTCATAAAGACATAAATCCTTGCCATCAAACTTATTTTTAAGAAATAGGTATTTTAATTTATAAAAATATATAACATTTTAAGCATTTTACAGTTAATGTATTATAGTATATGTACATATATACTTAAGTTCTAATCATTCGATAATTAATAATATTAAAAAAATCATCTTAGGATATCTGCAATTTGGTAAAAATTTTAAGATTTGCAATGTTTTACAATTACAATGGTTATAAGGTTAGTGTTAATCAAAACTTTAATTTCACGTAGAGTCTTTGTCTTATTTAGTTTAATCAAATTTAAATTAAAGAAACATAGATCATAGATCATAGTAATAAATAACTAAAGATACTTGCAACATAATTAAATATAAAATATAAACAAAGTACAACCAAAGTAACGTATATTTTCTGAAAACTACATATGATTATCTCACCAACTTTCTAGAAATTAAGGAGCACACATCCGTCGTATGGAACTACAACTGTGGATATCAAAAGCTGTGGGAGTTTGTCTGAACCCCATTTTTTTTTCTTTTTGGCCAGGTTACCCGCACCGTTAGACGTCGCCATTGCCTACCTGATCCACTTTTCCACGCGCTTTGACGACCATTTTTGGTAACAATAAATCGTGATACATCATCAAAAGTCAATTCGAATATGTAGACAACGCTGCGCTAGCGGCAGGCAAAAAATATTTTAATTTTAATTGATTGTCGAGCGAGATTTACGTGCACCAAAAGTTTCTTCTCACGCTCCACACACTAGCTCTCGCACACGGAGTTTTGTCTTTTTGTTTTTGTTAGTTGTTTATTTTTAGTTTTTATAGTTTTTGCGATGGCAGGATTAGAGCATTGTCAAAATGGAAAGTTGGCCCGCTTTGAAATCGTTTGGCAATCGCACCACGCAAAGCCCAAAATGCAAAAAAATCACAACAAATCCCGCAACGACGAGATGAAAAACAGAAGCAGCATCGCTAAATACAAAAACAAAAAAAAATAATACGCAAAATACCTTTCCAGCCTCTCATTTGGTTTTTTTTTATTCGTTTGATTCGGGCTCGTAAACGGAATTGAAATCAATAAACTACGTGACTGCAGTGTGTCCAATTGGAACATTAAGATCACATTGAATTGCTTATGTCTACATATTTTCTACATTTTGTTCAATAGCCATCTGTCTGAGAAACTTACAAAAATAAGGCTGCTTTAAAAGTATTTATATCTTAAATCAATTTAAGATTTATTTATTTTTAATTTGTTTTACTTCTCCAATACTTTCTAAGCCTCCTTGCTTGCTCATATAGATTTGTTTATTGGCAAGTCCTTTTCTACATCTTGTATTAAATTTAATGTTGCCTACTTTATGGATCATGCATTCGTAGTCAATAAAGAAGAACTGGTTTTATGTTAAGCCCAAAAAGATGGCTTTGTTTTTGTTTACTTTATAAATTGTTAAGCATTTAATATTAGTGATAAATATGGCAATATTTTGTGAGAGTGTTTTATCTATAAAATACCATTAATAAAAATCAGTTTTATAATTAAACAATTAAACAATTTGTAACCATAATTCAATTACCAAAAATGTACACGAAGAATATTGTAACCAATAAGAAGATAGTAGTTACTTTGTTTACTAATTGAAATAATATATTTAATATTATGTTTAATATTACATCTTATATATACTGATAAGTAATTTGTTAATTATTAAAAGATCTTTGCAATTATAAATATATTAAAGTACATGCAATATTTCAGATGGTTTTATTAAACTTCCACTTCAACTTATTTATATAATAAATAATATTATATATATATTAAACTTCATCCTTGGTGTCATTTTTAAATCATCATAATTAAATTAACTTAATCACATAAAATTAAGGCATAAATATTATTGACACAAAAACAGAAAGGTATCTACAAAACTTTCGAGTTTACAAACTCTACCTGGAGTACAGGGCAAAACCCTGTTGGTGGTTTTTCTCAGGGGTCGTCCTGGGGTTTTGTTATTACCTAAGCCGGGCGATCGACGATCGGCGATATGAAATCGCGGTTTTTTCCAGCGGAAGTTCGAGCTCGACATTAATCGGGTATTTTTGTTGGCCGCGGCCGGAAATTTGACTTTTCGCTCGTATTTTGTGGATTTTCGGAGCTGTGCGCGATCTTCGACGGAGATTTTCTCGATTTTCTCTATATGTGTCTGTGTGGGAATTCACTAATTAGGCATAATGAAACCTTTCCGCGGAGTTCCCCTCCTTTAGGGTTGAGGATTTGTCCTTTACGATGGTTGGCAACTGATGATTATATAATAGCGGAATGATTTTGATGGGCATAAACGTACAAACATTTTGCCGGCTTTCCTGTGAAAATTCCGCAAGCCAAAACTACCTATAAAAACGAATTTTCCCCCAACCAGAAGAGGAAAAGGTTGATGGGTGGGAAATTTCTCAATCAGATATATTTCACTTGGCGTTTTAATTAATTTATTTGTAAATTTATAGTATATTGCACTTATAATAGATTAGATTTCGATTTAGAAAAATTAACTTTGGGAAATATTTTGCAAATGAGTTATAGGAATAAATCGAAAATCGATCGGCATCAATATTTTTAATATGGCATTTTAAAAAAATTTTTTCTGCCGGAGATGACTAGAAAGATTTGCCTGTTGATGCTGATTAAGAATATATATGAATTATAGGGTCGGAAATGACTTCTTCACTTAGTTTCAAGCTTCTGAGTAAAATATTAATAATATTCTTTGATTAGTTATTCTAGACATTTTTATATGACAATTTTTTCGATAAATCAAATTTTAAAAATCTTATAACTAAGCCAAAATAGCATTAATTTCAATTCGGACAACGTGTGTGTGCTAGCTCTTAACAAGTGAAAAAATCTGCATACTCTATTTAAAACTTGAAGATATTGAAATTTTTATCAAATTTTGACCATTTTAACGATATATCCCCTTATAATATTTTGAAAAAATGGAAAAAAATGTTTTCATTAACGTATAGCAAGATCAACTCGGCTATCGATGCTGATCAAGAATATATATGATTTATAGGATCGCAAATGACTCCTTCACACAATATTAAGCTTCTGACTAAAATTATTATGTTTAGCAAGGGAATAATAAATGCATATAATTTTTGAAAATTAAATATAGAAGCCCTGCCTTCACAATTCAATTATCTCAAACATTTACTGCCTTAAATTATTCCCAATTGTTATTAAACTTGTCCATAAATAATTTAAAATCAAGTAGTAAACTGCAATTTCTTATGCCATTCTGCACTTTAGATATTTACATTCCCGCTCATCGAATCAACAAGTAAAAATATTTATAAAATTGTCGGCACATTTTTCCCAACCAACAGATCGAGCCGATCCTCGCCCATTTCCCCGTGCCATTTTCCCCGTGACATTTTCCCAAAACGGTGAGAAAACCCGGCAAAGAATAACCCAAAGAGCGGACCAGAGTCAAGGCTCTCTTTAGCCGTGCGGATGGGAAAATGCAAACGCATTTTGCAGCCGCCGCTGCTGGAGGAAAATGCAATTGAAAAATACCCCGCCGACTGACGTCATACCTGCGGCATCGCAGCATCCGCCATTGGGCTAGAGCGAGATGGCCATTGAGCACAGCGAGAGTGGGAGCGAGCGAGACGAATATATGAGCGGCGGCAGCGAATGGCCGTCGAGCAGCCGCAAAATGTCAATTTGAGCAATGGCCATAAGGATCGTGCGTCAGTTGCGTTCCGTCAGTGCGTGCGATCAGATCTCTATCGGGGCGAACGAAACACATATTAAATATATAGTATATATCGACGATAATAGATATAGTTATTTATCAGAAAGTGTGTGCCAAATAATTAACCAAAATTCCTATGCAAATGATGAGCGCTCGCTCGGTGTCGCCAAAAGTGCTGCTGGACATTAGCTACAAGCCCACGCTGCCCAACATCATGGAGCTGCAGCACAATGTGATCAAGCTCATCCAGGTGGAGCATCAGGCTTATATGCAGTCCCCGGGCTATCAGCAGCATCACCTCACCCATCAGCAGCAGCAGCAACATAATCTCTCCCAGCAACAGCAGCAGCATAATCTGCCCCAGCAACCTCAGTATGCTCCTCTGCCCTCGGAGTATGCGGCCTATGGCCTGACGGAGCTGGAGGATCAGGACTACAATATACCCAGCAACGAGGTACTCAGCACCAGCAGCAATCACAGTGCCCAGAGTAACAGCCTGGAGCTGAACAACAATAACACCACCACCACCAATACCAGCAGCAGCAACAGCAATGCAACTGCCAATCCCACGGTTTTTGAGTCCTCCGGCTCCTCTTGGAATGAGCATGGCAAGCGGGCCAGGAGCAGCGGGGACTATGACTGCCAGACTGGAGGCTCCCTGGCCATGCAGCCCGAGCACAAGAAACTAATCCATCAGCAGCAGCAACAGCATCACATCTATGTTGATTACCTGCCCACCACAGTGGATGAGGTGGCCTCGGCCCAATCCTGTCCTGGAGTTCAAAGCGCCTGCAATTCCCCTCACTCCCACTTTGAGTTCCCCGACGAAGAGCTGGCGGAGCACAAGTCCCAGATCTTCCTGCCGCTCTACAGCAACCAACAGCAGCAGCAGCAGCAGGCACAGCAAGTGACCCAACAGCAGACCCAGCAGAATCACTCCCAGCTGCACTTCCAGGCCGCCTACAGGCAGAGCTTCGAGGGCTATGAACCGGCCAATTCCCTAAACGGCAGTGCCTATTCCAGCTCGGATCGGGACGATATGGAGTATGCCCGCCACACGGCATTGAGTTCCGTCAATGATCTGAATGGTGGCGGTGTCATGTCACCCGCCTGTCTGGCGGACGATGGTAGTGCCGGAAGTCTGCTGGACGGATCAGATGCCGGCGGTAAGGCCTTCCGGAAGCCGCGACGGCGGCTGAAGCGGAAGCCCAGCAAGACGGAGGAAACGGATGAGTTTAGTAACCAGCGAGTGATGGCCAATGTCCGGGAACGGCAACGCACCCAGAGTCTCAACGATGCCTTCAAGGCGCTGCAGCAGATCATCCCGACACTGCCCAGCGACAAGCTTAGCAAGATCCAGACTCTTAAACTGGCCACAAGGTAAGAAGTCCATTGAAATTCCATAAAATATTAGAAAAATTAAACAAGCCATACAAATATTATATAAACGATTGCTAATTTGTCTGAGAAAATATTTGTGCTAAAAAGTTTTGGTTTTTAAATTCTATTTTGAACTACATATGAATTCTATATTTTGCCATAAAATCTATAAACAAGTTGTATTAATTGGACTTACTTTCCCTTTAGAATTATTATTCTCCTTTCAATATAAATAAGGTCAAAACGTTACTTTCTTTTTTAAAGTCACTTAAAAAATGTTATTCTATAAATATTATATTATGTTATTGGGAAAACTGTTAAAGAAATTTTAGATCTCAGAACTTATTAAATAGCGTCGCTTTTAAGATTAATTTAAATACAGTTCAAACACCTGATGCAAGCCTATCTGTCCCCCATGATTATGTTATTAAATCTCTACATTCTTATATCTTTATCTTTGTCCCTTATTGAACCTCAATGTTTTCTTTTTTCTCCTTGCAGATACATTGACTTCCTGTGCCGCATGCTCAGCTCGAGTGATATATCCCTGCTGAAGGCATTGGAGGCGCAGGGATCTCCCTCGGGATACGGATCGGCTGCCTCGCTGCTGAGTGCCGCAGCCAATGGGGCGGACGCGGATCTCAAGTGCCTGCGGAAGGCCAATGGAGCACCGATTATTCCGCCCGAGAAGCTTAGTTACCTGTTTGGGGTGTGGCGCATGGAGGGCGATGCCCAGCACCAGAAGGCATAGCAGCGGATCGAGCTTTCTATATAGATATTAAGGATCCAGGAGGGGCTTCCAGCTGCAACAATCGTGTGAATTCCAGAGCCCTAGCCGCGCTCACTCTTCAATTCTCTGTCACTCTTTCCATATACGCATATGTGTCGATTAGATGTCTAAGCCTAAACTTACGTTAAAAGCCTATTTAATTACATAGTCTAAACTAAATTAATTGTAAAGAAGCAACAACAAAAATAATGGAGAAACAAAGCCAAGAAACAAAGAAAACGCCATGAACAAAACCAGACGCCATTTTGTATTCAATTGTATTCTCAGTGGGATCTTTTGTATCTTTGAGATCTGTCGTATCTCTCGGATCTTGTTCCTCCCCTCCACTAAATTGGGCGCGAAAATGTCTTCGTTGGGGGGGTCGGATCCCAGTTCCCGGACTTGGAATTGGACTTTTTGTCTTATAAATGCGGAGACAATCGGAGCGACGTCGACATACTTAGAGCGTAACGTCATTCCGACGACAGATGGACTGTATGTATCTGCGAGATACACATACTACATACTACTGCATCATATATGTAGATATGGGAGAGGAGACCCCCGACATCCACATCCACATCCGGTTGATTTATGTTCGAAAACATAAAAACTGTTTACAAAGTATAACCAGAAGAAGAACAAAGTATTTATGTCGCCAAAATGCGTATTTAAAACGCTCATAATTAGCTCAGTCAGATAGTTTAGTTTCGGTCGCCTTGGTGCCGGAATGGAACTGTAACAGCAGCCTGGAACTGGACTCCGCCTCATCAAAGGCAATCGAATGGATCGCACCGATCGCTCTCGTTCATAGTTGTTGACTTAATTGCTTTTTAAATGACAGCAGAAAGTGCTCTCCGCTCTATATACATTCTGCACGGCTGCTTATTTTGAGATACCCATCCGAAAGATCGCAGCGCAGTCGATTCGTGTAGATACAAAATTAGATTTGTATTTAGATGTGCTTAAATTGGCATATCGCATGCAAGTTGACAGGTTGTCGTTGGTCTTGGGGATGAAGATATGGAGAATGCTTCTCTTTTATGTATTAGAAGTATATTATGGGGAGCTAGGAAATTAGGGAGACTATCGTAGATACTTGAAGCTATAAAGAAGGTTTTGGAGTTCATGAAATAGACATAAATATATCCATTTAGCTGCCTTCTTTTTCTATCTATTTGATCAGTTCACGCCTCAGTAAATGATGTGAATATATCTCGATTTATTTGCTTGCCAATTGATCTTCTTTGTTTTCATTGAAATTTCTATAAACTGTGAATAATGTAATTTTCGTTTTAATTGCTTTAGAAGAATTGTTGTCCAAATTCTTTGCTCAATGAAACTAAATTATAGTTCTTACAAAATTATTTTATTAAAATATAGTATTAGGTTTCCTGTTTTAAACATATTTCAAGCTTTAAAGTAGTACTTGTATATTTCTCATTTAAATATCTGTAAGGCGAACATGCTGTAAAATGGTTTACTTTGGAAAATGGCAGGGAATGCCTTATAAATCTTAGCTTAACTAATCATTGCTTATATATGTATAATTATAACTATATTTAATACCAACGTGAGACTTAAAACCAATAATTAACCATAAAATTTATGAAATAAAAAAAGATTCTTTTGTGAAAATCTGTTTGCTCTTTTCTTGCGTGTTTCTATTACTCGAGGGGAATGTTTAGCTGGCAACCCAAATCAATAAACGTGGCGGAATCACCATTTTATTTTTCCTGGCAATAATCGTATAGCAAACGCAGAATTTCCTCGGAATTTCCACATCTAATTAAGGCGGCAAACTAAGCGAAAATGAAAAACGAGCGAGGCAGAGCAATCGTTTTTGGAAACAATTGATTTATGCACAAGTATTGGTTGCCAGAACGCCCCTTTTTTCGGCTGCCTGATGAATGAATCTGCATAGTTTAGATCGAGGATCACACTTCGTAGGGACTCCGCAGCGGCGCCTATATATCCTTCGGAGCGGAGTCAGCGAGGGCAAGGAAAATCGTGGCTCGGGCATTGTTTTCATTTCATTTACGAGTCGACTCGAGTCGCTCTCGCCCACACACATATGTTGGGAAAATAATAGGAAATCGGTTTGTCCCCCGGCATGAGGTCCTTTAGCCTGCACAGCGAGATTTGCAGTCCTTAGGCGCATAGCACATGCCATTGATTACCATGTGTGGGAATTGGCCTTGCGAAAAAATAAGCAACTTAGTTGAGATCACACATAAAGAAGCGCCCTCGTCCTTCGTCCTGCGGCGATCCTCGTCCCGCTCCTGGCACGTTCTAAATTTAGCATCACGATTTATGGCGATCCCTCGTCATTTGAGCCGCTCTTCCAGTACTGCATTATTTTTTTTTAAGAACCCCTAGGATAATATTGAAAATGGCCGGGGAAAAGGAGAGGGGGCGTTGACAGTTGTGCATCTCCCATTTTTAGGTAGCTAGTACCGAGTACCGATCCCACATTAAATCCCCTTCTTGGATCTACAATAAATGTATTATGTGGATGTTTCCTTTGGGGGGCTGAACTAAAACAGTGTTCGGTGGAAATTCTATGCGGTAATTGCAGCCACCGTAACTAATACAGTGGAAAGAGTGACTTGTTCCTTCAGTTTTCCAAGGGATTTTCAATATTCTGAATCCGGCATCCAGTGTCAGAGGGGAATGAATATTGGGGAAGGCGGGGAAAGAGAAAATTTCAAGTGCATTCGGTGGACAAATATTGACAGAGGATGTGGTTCAGTGAGTTAATAACATATTGATAAAACTAAGCTATAAATCAGTTTTTGAAGGGGTCTTCCGAAAATATAGTTCTTTGAGCTCTGAAATTCTTTAATCACTCATAATTTAGGCTTAATTAGAATCATTAAATGACAAGTAGTTTGTTGGATATAATTGAAAAAGATATCACAAAAGAATAATGATTATTCACTAGAATATCATATTTTAGCAAAGAGAAAATATTAATAACTTTGATCAAATTTAAACTATAAAGACGTTGAAAAACTCTTTGATAACATAACGATTTTAAGTAATTTTAATATATATTTTAAAGATCTATACCTTTTTTCCTATCCATGTCTTTAGCCTTAAATACTAACAATTTATTCTCGAGAAATCCGTTTGTAACAATTAAGCATAAAATGAATAAATAAATTTCATCAAAACTCAAGTCAAACGTCTTTAATTATTCCAATGAACTCTTTGCGAATGCTGAAATATGATCAAAATGCTTCACAAAGCTGCAAATATTACAATTCCGATTCGGATGTGGATTCCCTTTTTAGCCATTCCCAGATGAGCAGATGGCCGTGTCCGTGTCCATGTTAAAGTCAAAACGGTGTGTCCAAAAATTATACGAAGCGTTTCCGATTTCAAAGTAAAGCGAGTCTGACAGACAGACAGACAGAAAGACGGGTCGAGAGGGAAACGGAAGCGTTTGCTGCCCACTGGGACACGGAGATGGAGGACGAAGATCTCGGATGCATTGTTGTGACCCATTCGCAGACTCATTTGTGCCCCGCTGATTGATTGCCGCGAAGGAGAATAGCTGCCCCAGTCCTAGATCCATGGGGGTAGAGGCTTTTAATTCTGCAAGAGGGGTAAAGTATTTAATATATTTTGAAATAATTATATAGCATTAACTAAAATGAATTCTAAATTTATACACCCCCAAAGTTGGCAATTTAATAATTATAATTAATTATAACAAAAATCCGTTAATTTCAATTCGGAAACCTTTCCTGTGCTAGTTTTTATTAAGTTAACAAATCTGTATACTGGATTTAAAATTTAAAGTATCCTTGTTTTAATTTTTTAAAATTTTAACGATGTAACCCCTTATAAAATTCTGATAAAATTTTGAAAAATTTGTTTTCTACCAAACATTGCTAGATCGACTCCCCTGTTGATGAAGATCAATAATATATATAACTTATAGGGTCGAAAATGACTTCTTTACCGTGTTACAGACTTCTGACTAAAATTATATTACACTGAAGGGTAATAAAAAATCACAAGTTTAATATAGCTCAGAAACCACAACCAAGGTAGTACCTTACCTACATTTAAACCCCTTTATCTACACCCATGTCAGCATCCCCCGGAACCCCTATTTGGGGGCGAAAAAACATCTGGTTCACGCAACGCTGCCACCGACAACCAAATATGCAAACTGCGCTCAACGGGTGAAGTAATTAAAATCATCGATATACTCGCCTTCGTTCACGGCGGTGCTGCCTGCATTTTCGAGTGCATTTGGCCAATCAATCAGCGATCAAAGTTCATAGACGAGATCCATGGGTTTCACAAGGGGCCAAAAGCCACAGCGGAGGCAGTTGCTGACTAATGGCCACCGATGATGAAGTCGGCCGATCTGTCCATCAGCAACAATAACAAAAAGCCCGGCTAATGTACTGAATGTGCATCTACAAGATACATATACCTATATATACGTACATATATTGATGTGAGCGCGTACAAGTTCTACATGTTTGTTTATGAGGCTGTTGGGGGAGTGTGTGTGGAAGTTCATAAAAGACAAGTGAATGATGGTGGCTTAGAGGTTTAGGCTTTCTGATACCCTTTGGTATTGGTTTAATATTTCTAAATATATTTTCTAAATATTTAGAGCTTATGATATAGATAAATACAATTAAGGGTAGAGTTTGTGTTTTAAAAATATTTTTTCAAATATGAATAAGATATAAAACGATGTATATTTAATTTGTATTATCATTTTAACAAATTAATGCGAAGAAAAGTGATTCCACATACTTGTTACATAGTTCTGAAAATGACACTGCTGAAAATGATTCTGCAGACTCGCTTTCAGCTCTATTTCAAGCATATATAGGATATACCCCGCCCTAGTGCCACTTACAGGGTATTTTGACTGGAAGTAATTGCTTGGAGGCGCGAAAAAAGGGGCAGCAGCAAACAGTGATCGCTACCAGCGTTGTCCTGCTCACACCGTAACTCTTTCTCACTTGCACTCTTGCACACTCATCCGCCCCGTTGCCCGTCGCATATACGGATCCAATTCCGGACGGACGGTCGCATAAATATTTTGCTTTTATATTTTTTCAGCCGAAGATGCGCGCAGCACATAAAAAGCAACGCGTCCGCGTACACAGCCGATTGTAGTTGTCTATAAACAAAAAACAATCCATAAAAAAAAGCCCAACAACGACGGCGGTCGACATCCAAAAAAAAAAAAAAAGGAGCAGC